ACATGACATTTTTAATACTTTTGCTAATTATATAATATAGTTAGAAATAATAATGTATAGGGACACATAATAATGGTGAGCAGCAGATCGGGAGTAAAATTTCGGAGAAGCTGGATTTGAGATGTCTATTACACAGCAAGTGCCATGTCCGTAAGGGCAGTGGAAGTCTAAGCTTGGCGTTCAGGAGAGAGATCAAGGCTGGAGAGAGAAGTTTGGGAGGTCCCAGCTTATCAACATAAATTACTGTTAATCACTGTATATCTGAGTCCAACTTCAAAGACTATACAACACTGAATACAAGTGAGAGTATATTAGGTCATTAAACGAGAAAAAATAGTCAAATGACCTTCCCCATATTCCTTTCAAACACTGGGTCCATCCCTTCTTTATTCTACCCCAGTTAAGAACCATAGCACTGGAAAACTACCTCAACCCTTTTCATTCCAATCACTACCTGAATAACACAGTCCCTCCTCGCTCCTTGATTGAGTCACCAATTCACCAATCCTTGCATTAAATGTTTTTCTTCTTCATATACAAAGTACCCAGAAAGACAGAAGTTGTTTAGCTTGGAATGCAAGTCATAAATGACCATTTGATTTCAAAACTTTCCACTGAAGCCTGTCCTGATAAAAACCTTCACAGAACATGCCTTACTGCTACCAACTTCCAGTAAACACACGGATATGAGTTTGACAACCAGCTTTGGTGGCAACCATCGGATGAAAAAGTTACATAGGTGTTCATTTTCTAATCAGCCTCTCCAGCTTTATTTCTCACCACACTCCAGCTCTTCTTCCCCAATCTAAACATATTAATGCAGTCCATTTTTAAAAATGCAATCTGGGGCTTCCCTGGTGGCGCAGTGGTTGAGAGTCTGCCTGCCGATGCAGGGGACACGGGTTCGTGCCCCGGTCCGGGAAGATCCCACATGCCACGGAGTGGCTGGGCCCGTGAGCCATGGCCGCTGAGCCTGCGCGTCTGGAGCCTGTGCTCCGCAACGAGACAGGCCACAACAGCGAGAAGCCCGCGTACGGCAAAAAAATAAAAAATAAAATAAATAAAAAATAAAAAAATAAAAATGCAATCTGCATTTCCTCACCTCTGTGCCTTTGCACTGCTTCTCCCTTCTTCCCTCTCCTACATCTAGCTATTGCTCCTGTCCTTCGACACTATGGGGACCAAGTAACTTACCATACAACTGAAGATGCTTTAGAGAGTAAAAACAAGCAATAAAAATGAGCAGATGTTAACTGATCTGTAACAGGAGGAAAGTGGAACCGCCCCCAAGCAAACCAAGGCCTATAATCATCCTATTTGAGACTCCCCACCTTCCCTGCCAGCCCTGTAGGCGCCACAGCATCCTGCTAAAACCACTACATCCACCACATCATATCACTGTTGGCTCACACTGCATGCTTTCCGATGGCAGAAACGTCCTAACTAATTGCCAGGTGTGTTCAGTCGCTGGCACCAAGAAGATATTCATTAAGTTCTGATTAAATGAACAAATGACAACTATGGGCTTATTTAGCATACAATTTCCCACAAAGTGTCCTTTTCATATAAATGTCCAAAAAATTCAAATGGAGATAGCAGAGATCGTACACCAAATGCTTTTTCTCTAAAGAAATACCTTGCCGCTTCAGTGTTTTGTCTCTTATAAGAACAGGCTATCTTTAGCCCTTATTTAACCTTCATTCGTTTAACAAGTACTTACTTAGATGGTACTATGTGTCAGGCAGAGTCTTTTGTGTTTGGGACTCATCAGTGAGCAACAAAGATTAAGAGCTCGGACTACTGTAAGGCAAGTAAGGCACTCACTTTGGAGCATAAGAGGGCACCAAAAAAAAACCCCCAACAGACCTCAGTAATTGAGATGAATAATATTTTTAAATATTTTTAAAGTAAAAGCTAATCCAAAAATGATGAATAAAGTATCAACATTTTTGAGTAAAGACAGGATGAGTATTACTGACATTTTGCCTCAGCCTCTAATATGACTTGGCATGGCACTGTTAGTGATCCTACTTTTACTTCAAGTATTGATTTTTTTCTGCATTAAATTTTATTTTTTAAAATACTGCGTTTCGGAATTCCCTGGTGGGTCCAGTGGCTAGGACTCTGTGTTTTCACTGCAGACGGCCCGGATTCAATCCCTGGTTGGGGAACTAAGATTCTGTAAGCTGCATGGCACAGCCAAAATAGTAATAATAATACTGCCTTAAATTATTACTCCTCTTGATTACTGGGTTGTTTTTGTTTCTCCCTCTCTGGAAGTTTTGTTCTTGAAGTGGGTTTCTCACTTGCCTGACCCTAAGTCCCTGCCCTTCAAAGATCCCTGCTCACCTGGAGGGTGGCTTCACAGAAAATAGATATTTGAGCAAAAAAGACTTGCAAGACATGAAGGGGTTGGCTGAGTGGATTCTGGGGAAGATGAAGAAATGGCAAGAGCAAAGGCCCTGGGGCACCAGTGTGCCTGAGACAATTAAGGAAATGCAAGTAAGCCATAAGTTAGCAACTGAGATGAGTTGAGAGGTCAGCGGAGGTCAGATCACAGAGAATTCTAACCGATGCTTTCATCCTTTAACAATCCTAAGAATCACCTGTGCTTCTTGGTCCTGATTTAGCGGCTCTGGGGTGGGGCCTGAGATTCTACAGTTTTAACAAGTTTCCAGCTGATGCTGATACTGTTGATCCACAACGAGCAACAATGCAAAGTCTAGACTGCTATAAGCTCTTGGGCCCTTACTCTGAGTAAAAGGAGAACCAGTGCAGGGTCTGAGCAGAAAGTGACATGTTTTCTCGTGTTTCAACAAGGATCACTCTAGCTGCTGTGTTGGGAATAGGTTCTAGATGGGAGTCATATAGAAGCAGAAAAACCAATTAAGAGGCTGATGTATTATTAGCACAGGTGAGAGATAATGGTGAGCTGGACCAGGGTGGTAGCAATGGAGGCGAGAGGGGAACTGATTCTGGGTATGTTTGAAGGCAGAACTTGGAAGATTTCCTGACAGAATGGATATAAAGTGTGAGACAAAGCCAAGAGTCAGGGCTGACTAGGTTTTTCTGGTTTGGGCATCTGGAAGGATGGAGTTCACATCCATTATTCTGGGAATAATTCCAAACAGCACAGGGTGGGGAACATCAGCTCAACTTGGAATGTTAAGTATGAAATGTCTATTGCACCCCAAGTGGAATGTCAGGCAGGCATATGGAGCTCTTTGGAATTTGGGAGAGAGATCTTGCCTGGAGAGAAAAGTTTGGGAGTCCTTCAAACATCGTAAGCCACAGTTAATTAGCCAATTATGTGAGCCATTGTGGATACTAAGCAAAGACAAGCTTTGAAAAATTTTTTATCTAAAAATCTATAGTATTGCCTTAGGGCCCCTTCATTCTGAATTTAAGCCTTGTCCATAAAGAAACCCAAGTGACATCTTGAGTGTGACGTCCTCACTTGTTTCCTCCCAATGCTCATATCCTCAAGCATAATTAAATAAATGAGAATCTTCCAAACCTGTTAAACCCGTGAGGTTCTGAATGTTCTGTGCCTTCTATAGGTGTGCTCAGGGACAGCTTACTCTCTTTCACTTAAACTTTTCAGAGGACTGTGCAGACCCTGGTATTGAGATAAATTCCGAGGAACTGGAAAGGGTCTTGTATCTTCTGTCGCCGTACACAGACAGAGTAAGAATTCCAATGAAGAGTGCTGCCTTGCCCTTCCAAGGCCAGCTGATGGCAGCCTGGAGTCACAGGACCAAAGGTCATTCACATAACATGTGAAATCCTTTCATCAGATTCAGTTCAATAAAAATCTCTTGAACACCTGCTACATACCGAAAACTGTCTCAAGTGCTGAAGATAGAAAACTCTCTTCCTAGTTATCTCCATGAAATCAACTAAAACCATGTAAATTCAACAGAGGAGGAGTGAAACCAAGGTAGAACTGAAGTTGGGGGACAGAAGCTTTAGTTAGCCCAGAGACCGCAAGAAAACATCTCCTTTCAAGAAGACAGCAGAAGAGACTCAGGAAGGAGAAGAGGTGTGTAAGATGGAGATTGACAAATCATTAGTAAAAAGTATGTTGGCAATTATTCCTATGTTAAATATTGGCCTTGGCAAGACTGCTTTGGCTACTGAAATCTGGTTTACTGATACTAACCCAGTGTTTCCCAGAGTTTGGGGTGCATTAGAGTCACCTGGAGATCTTTAACAACTACTGCAGCCTGGCTCCCACCCGCCCCCAGACATTCTGATTTAATTGGTAAGAGGTGTGACCTAGGCCGAGGCATGTTAGTTCCCCAGGTGGTCCAAATGTTCAGCAAAGTTTGAGAACCACTGCTCTGGTTCTTCCAAACCTAGTTATTTGGTATGTTGCTCCTCAAAGCTGGTTCATGAACAAACAGCATCAGCACCAGGTTAGAAATGTAGAATTTCAGCCCCACTCCAAACCTAATTTATCAGTTTGTCTTTAACAAAATCCCTAGGTGGTTCTAATGCACATTAGAGTGCCAGTAACACGGGTTTAGAGAGCATTTCTCTGACTTAAGGGGAGAGAAAGAGGAATTTTAAGGCAGTCATTCCTAATACATTATTTCCATTACCCTTTCCCATTATCTAACATGAGTGCACTTAGAAACTAAGAGGAATCTGAAAAACTGATAATACCCCTTTCCAAAGGGTAAATTTGTCTCTACTCTGAACGTGAAGTTTAATACCTATAGCTAAGTACAGGAGCCTATTCAATTCAAGCTGCTTTTTAATTTCTTCCATTATTTACAAAGAGAGGAAAAGGAGGATCCTGCAAATTACCACCTGCTGAACATTAGCATCAATATCAGCTCATTTCAGGAACAGTCTAAATACTATCATTTTCCGTCCACCTGGCTAATGAGATGACTGGCTTCTAAATTCTCTTTTTAATAGCCACAGTTGTCCTGAATAATTCCAAGTGTCATAAAGATAAATGAAATATTAAAATATTAAGGATAGAGCAGTACCTCGTCTAGGAAAGCAGTTACATGTCCAAGGGATGAGGCAGGTAACTCTCCAAATAAAACTGTTTGAGAGAAATCATTTACTCCAATGTTTTCAGTACTCTTCTTGGCAATATAAATAAGTTTATGTTTTGCATCTCTTGGAATCTGAAACAAGAGTAACATAATTATTTTAAGTCCACAATGTAGCTTCCATGTTAAAAAGCAGGATTTGCTGTATCTAACTTGTAAGTAGATTGCTAGCATACGAAACAAAACCTGGCATCTTACCTACCTTTATAAATAAGATTGCTCCACTGCTCTTCTGCAAAGTTTATACAATTTTCTTTGTTCTTTTATAATGTTAATTTCACAGTATTATTGGTGTGGAATGTCCTTTCAAAAGCATGTCAATTAGGATCATCATATACCATAAAGTCTCATAATTAAACAAATACAGGAAGAAATTAGAATGTTTCCATCTTAGCAAAGGTTATTCTTTTGTGTAACATTTTCTTGTTCAGAAGTAAGCCAAACCGAGATAAAGACCAAGAGGTTAAATTGTATTTCTATACTCAAAGCAGTGTTTAATCAAGATATTCTAACATTTCCATAACTATCAGGTCATTTCTTCAGATATCATGACTGTTTAACTTAAGTAATACTAAACTGTTCTTGTCCACTCCACTGACAAACTTTTAAAATTAGGAGAGTAGCAAAACAAAAACAATTCAGAACTCACAAAACCCTAAGGCTAACTCCAGTGACTCTTTCTTTGGGTTCCTATTTCCCCGCCATTACTACGACCACATCTACTGATGATGGCATCACTTCACAGCACTGACAGTGAGGCATCTCAAGATTGTAAATCTTGCTCCAAAGTCTTCGCAAACTCTTTAAGTATAAATGCTGTGATCGTAGGTGATACGTTAACCTTCAAGTGTACAAGAAGTCTAGATTTAAAAAGGTAAAAGGAAAAAAACAAAAAAAAAAAAAGGAAGAGAAAAGGGAGTGGGGAGGAAGAGGGAGAGAGAACTGTCCTGAGCGCAGATTCCCGGGCAATTCTTTTTTAAAAGGAGTCCTAAGTATTATTCGTTGGGATGAAGTGTGCTTGACAGGCAGACTGAGCCATGACAAGTTATTTGGGCTCCGCCAAACACCGCATTTGGCTCCGGAGTGACACAAGAGCGATTTAAAGGTTATCTGGCAAACAGAACTCACCTCGCGCCTCACGCCCAGGCAGCTGAAGGACGCGCTGCTTTTCCTGCTTTATCCGGGTGAAGCAGGCCCAAAGGCTGACCTTCTAGAAAACTAACCAACAACCACTTAACAGCAGAGTGGGCACACGTGGGGGATTCTGCGGACTCTCGGCAGGCACTTGATTGAAGTTTTTTAAAGCGCCCGCATATGTGCCCCGAGAGAACCCAAGGAAGCACAACTGGCCTGTCCCGCTCAAGTGTCCGTCAGGCTGGGCGGGAGGCGTGACCTGGTTCCCTCGCCCGTCGCCCCTTACCTGTTGGGACGCCGCGAGCCGCTCCACGGCGTCGACGCTGAACACAAGGCAGGCGGGGCTGGGGGTCTCCAGAAACTCCCCCAGGACCTGCCGCTTGTCCTCGCTCTCCAAATGCTGGCTCCATTTCTCCTCCGGGAACCCCAGCATCTGCTCCAGACGGCCGCCGACGAAGCGCACCCGCGCGTCCTGGGCGAAACTCCGCGCTCTCCTGGCCGCCGCCACCTCCTCGTCTTCGTCCTCCTCTTCATACTCCACCAGGCCCACCGCCTCCGGGCCGGCGCCCGGGGTTAGGCGAAGGGTCGGGACTTCCCGGAAGCCTCCCGCCTCCCGGGCTGCCACCTGGGCTGCCATCCAGCACGTCTGAGGGGACGCGGGGCTGGCCGGCTCCACGCGCGCGCCCCTGCCCAGCCCCGGGTAGGCGAGGCCACCTCCACACTCGCGCTCCGAGAGGCGCCCACCTCCTCCAGCGATCACCGGGAGCGCGGCCGCTAGTCCCACACCTGCTCCCACTTGGCAGCCGGCGTCTGCGCGCACTGCGAGCGCAACGCGCCAGGGCTCTGGCGAGCCTTGAGCCGCCGCGTCCCGTTTCCAGGGGAACGACGTCCCCGCCCCGGCCCTCTGTGGGCGGAGTGAGAGCCGAGTGGAGCAGCTTTCTGGAGGGGAGGAGCGTGCCCTCGACCGGCGTGAGCCACTCGGTGGCCTCCTCCGCTGCCCACTGACGCCCTGGCACACGGGACATCTTGGGGCTCCCGGGAAGGGAGAATGGCAACCCAGTATTGATTAACTGCTGTCTTTTGAGCAGTGCTGGGTTGTGCTGAGCTCCGTGCTAAGTCCATCCCCTCGATTATTTAATACCTAGAAAGGCAGGGCTTCGACTGGTCAGCTTATTTAATGAGCAAAGAAACTAAGTCACAAAGTGACTAAGCAACAAGGAGATGGTGGAACCGGGATTCAGGACTCGCGCCGAGGGCTTTTAATTTACCTTGCCCATAGCTGTTAGAATGTTTCCAGAAAAGAGCCAACACTGCAATTCAGCTTTCCTAGTTGTGGCAATCCAAGATCTAGGTATTCAAAATCCTGATTCTGAACCTCACCTGCCAGTTACTGGGATGTTAATACACCTAATGAAAGAATGCATGACGTCTCTGTAAACAGCAAAGTGCTCTGAAAATATATAATTATTCAATCCAAGAGTAAAAGCTCAAGGCGGAAAAGTTCCATATTAGTAACAGTCTCCGTGATGTTGAAATGGATTTCAGTATGGTCTATTAATGACATTTGTTGAGACTGAAGTAGCCAGAATTTTGAGGGGCAGTCCTCAAACTAAAGTTTTTTTAGTCCTTTCCATTTGTTCATTTCAAAGTAAAAACTTCAAACCCCTTGTTTCCCATAGGAACTATGAAGGAGTGTTGCCCTCAATAATCCATTATAATAACTGATTATCGATAAATACGTTGTATCCAGCAAGATTTGGTGCCTTAACAGTTTTTCTTTTTAGGATGTCAATTGTGTCTGATAACCACCTATAAGATTTTCTAGTTATATCATCAGACGCGTGAATGAACACAGGCTCCTGGAAAGCCTTTATAATGAACACAAGCTCCTGGAAGGCTGTTTTGCATGGTCCAAAGCAATCCTTGGGGCACCCAGTGGCTACTAAGCAAGCCTGGAAATCACTTGTGAACACCTTACAATGCTTCTTAGTCTCTCCTCTCACACCTATATTCTACCTTTGCATCTCCTACCCCAGAGACACAGGAATTCTGTAAATAAGAGTTGAACTAAATTGAAGTGAAAAACCACTTTAAAATTCAGCAGAAAAATTTAAATCATAGTGTTACTATTTAAGTACAATTTTCAAAAAGTCACATAGTAACTCAAAATACAGAATGAAGACATGTCAAAGATGTCTTCAACTCATTAATGAGGATATCAACAAAATGGTGAAGTTGGTTCCAGGAGAATCAGAGAAAGAGATTCAGAGGCAGTGGAGAAAGACTATTGAAATAAGGTCGCTAGGTTAGATACAATACTCCTTAATGTCCTATAGGACAATATAATCTTGACTTCTGTTTTGGGCTTTTTTAAAAAATTGTGTATTTCAGAAGTAATTCATATCTGTAATGAACAAAAATCTGCAGTTAACTGCAATTAACAGAAAACCCAAGTAATAGTGGCCTACAATAAGAACATTTATAATCTCACCCAAGAAGTCTGGTTGTAGAAGAGCCAGGGGTTGGTTAACACAAGGACTCTGGGATGAGACTGTTGTTCACCTCCCTTTTCTGTGGTCTCCAACCGGTCAGTTATTCTCCTATCATGGATGCTAGGTGGCAATCATGTTTTCTAGCATTCCTTGCAGGTGACAAAGTCCAGAAGCAAGAAAACAGCATCTTCATTTTTGTGTAAAGAAAACTTTCTGAAGCCCTCCAGAAGATGTTCCTTTTCATCTGATTGGCCAGTATTCCATCTCATGTCCATATCTAAACTTGGGTTTGTCAAGGGAAATGAGATCAAGATCCAACTCCAGCTTCCTTTTAAGGATATGCCCAGTAGGAGGAGCCTGAGCAAAATGTGGGTTCTGCTAGTGAAGAAAAAGGGTAAAAACTGTCCATTTGGTAGTCAACCAAGAAAGGTATGGATGTTTTTTTCTCAGATTCCCCATAAACGTATAACATCATGGGAAGTATCTCTTTACACTAACACAATTTCCCAAGAATTATGAAGACTTTATTACTTTTTTTCCCCCCTAAGTGTGGCTAAACATTAAAAGAACTTTATTCTTGGAGAAGCCTGGATTAAGGTCAACTTGAGATTTTGGAAGGAGAAAAAGGAAAACAGGGTAAAACTGAGAAAACTATGTGATTTGAGGAATTTTACTGTCTGGATTTCCAGAGATATCAAGACAAAAACAAGTGGGTAAAGGACAAATATAATGAGGTGCCGCTGTTGAGGCCATCAGATATGTGCCATGGTCAAGAGTGGGGGCAGAGAAGGGTTGTATACCAAGTGAAGGGACATGGAAATCAAAGGCAGGAATGTCAACTCATAAGGTCAAGGCCATTCAAAGCAGATACACAACAATAGTTAAGCTACAGTTTCTTACCACTGCTGGTTTTGATTAAAAAAAAAAACAAAACAAACAAAAAACAATAATAACAAAAAACAACCTAAAGCATCTTTGCAGAGTCTAAGCATGAATTTAGGAGATAGAGGGGGAAATGTAATAGAAAACCAACAGATTTGCAGGAAAGAAAAATTTTGTAACATTTAGAGAGACAATTCTGAGGTGTACTTGTAATGACTGACAGAAGCAAGCAAGCAACAAGGATCACAGGACTCTGGAGAGGAAATCCTCACCAGTCTACAGTGTAATCTCTTCCTGTACCTGTATGATGTACTCTACCTTGCATTATAGCTATTTGTGCGGCTTTCTTATTTTTCCTTATTAGCAACAAAGCCCTTTGAAGGCAGGTGCTGTCAGGGACTGTGCCATTTATTTTACCCCCTGCAGCATCTAACACAGACCCTCCAGCAATACTACCGTTCGAATATTTGTTGAATTGAAATAAGCACTTCAAAATAAAATGCCAACAAGGGAAGGACTTCTGTAACCCAAAAAATTTTAGTCAAGGAAAGGGTTACAGCCTCTGAAGGGAGAAGAGAAAAATAAATGTGTAAAAAGAGATGAATTAATTTAATTAATTAACAGAAAAGAAGTTTTATTTCTGGAGCACTAGTTCCAGAAAAGGAAGAGGATTTAGAGATTAAATAAATTCTACAAAAGAATATGTGAGTTAAGTTGTAGGGAGTACAAACACAATTATTTCTGAATACCTCCTACATCGTATCAAACACATTATTATTTCTATTCCTGCTTGTTAAACCTTTCTTTGAAATCAGAAATGAGGAGAAAGCTTAGAGAAAGTGCTCAGAGTTGGGCACAGGTAGAAATTAAATGAGTATTCGTGATCGCTCCCCCCGTGGAGGCAGCGCACACATTTGTCTAGTGCTCAACAGTTTACAAAGCCCTTTCATAGGTGCTACTTAGTTAGTGGAGGGAGATTTGAGGAGGAGAGCAGTGTGTTTATATCAGGTAAATCTGCCTTTCTCTTTTCTATTTACATTGCTGATGTACCCATTGTAAAGCTGCTAAGCTTTCTTCCTAAACCAGTAAGCATTGTTTGCATTCTTGCTTTTCTCCCTAAATATATATTTATGTTCCTAATATGAATCCCTAATATAAATATATATTTATATTCCTAATATGAATTGTTCCAGGATATAGAATATCACATATAATTTGTAATATCCCCAAATCTCCAAGGATTAGAATACCCTAATTGAATCCCCGAATTCTACCAGCACCAAGAAGTCCCCAAAGCTTTCCCAGCAATTCCAGCTCCTTACAGAGAGGGCATTCTCTGTGACACACAACAAGGTTACTTGGGCTGGGAAAGGTTAGTATTAATAAAACATCCTTTCAGTGCGCACTAACAGTTCTTTTCCTGTGGCCATCCAAACCCGTAACTCCCCATGTAAACAGACAATGCAAATAAAGTAATCTCCTGTGAATCTCAGTAGTTTGATCCTGAAATGGTCAACAAAACTACAGTTGGCAAGCTCAGGGTGTTGGGGAAGAGAGGGGATTGATGGAAGCAGAAAGGAAATAAACATATCTTGAAGTGTAGTTCATTGATTCTGTGATGCACCTTTTTTCACATTTTAACATCTCTGCAATTGGGGTCTGTCTTACTTTTGTGGTCTGCCAAGAGGCATGTCTGTGGTCGTTAATACTGCCCATACATCTGCAACAAGACTTGTAAAATGGAACATTATCAGCACAGAAGAAATTCCTGGAGGTAACAGTGGAGCATTCTTTTAAGAAATGCTACATCATTAATACTCTTCATGGCACACTTTGGAGTATAAACCTACCTGTCCACTGTTCACATTCAGCTAGGATGCCAGTATAGCCACACCGGTTATTAAAATGCTGAGATAATGCCATACTGGAAACTAAATAGCCACTCTGGTTCCCAATCCCCCTACTACCACCCCATGACCTCCCCAAGATCTAGCAACTGAAAGAGTAATGCCAGGGGGGTGGGGGTGGAGGGATGGATGGGGCTGTGGAGTATAGGATGGAGAAACAGGGAGGGGCTCTGGGACCTCCCTCCAATCAATCCCTTCTGATTGATGGGTGCTGTGCTGTGTCTGTTATTAAAATTTTTGACTGTTATCTCTATCTATAATAATCAGGAACAATAATTATTGTTATATTCTTTTGTTTACAGGGAATGAACTGAACTTGGAACAGGGTAACTCTTACTCTGATAGCTAAATATGTC